CCCTCTCTGACAAATAAATAAAATCTTAAAAAAAAAAAAAAAAAAGGACTGGACTAGGTCAGGACACAAGCGTTCTAATCTCCCCTGGTTCTTGGCTTCTTCATTTGTACCAGGAAGGAGCCAGAGTAAACCTCTGCTTCTCAAGTGGTTTGTCCTGACACATTCATGTTTCACAACTGACTGTCAAGTGTGCAGCCAAGTCACACTAACTAAAGAAGTGAGGTTTGCCCAAAATGTCTTGCTAAACAAGAGGCAGAGGCTCTCCCTGTCACCCAATGCTCTCAAGTCACCTGGGTCTGAAGGTGGTTTTGGAGCAGGAAGGGGGGTGAGACAGTCCTGTTAGAGTGACTAACGTCTATACAGCTCCCCTTACACAAATACCATTTGTAGGTCAGAAAAAAAAGGTATAAAAGTCAACGAAGTAGAGAAACTGCTTCCCAGGATGGCTTTTGGTCTAAATTTCTGACTTCTAGGCCCAAATAATAAAGAGTAAGAGGTGCTCCGAAAGTATGTGTATTTAACTGCATACTGAGATGCATTTATGAGACTTTCCACAGAGTTCACTCAGCACCCACAAGTGAGAACATATACTGGTCTATTCTGGTCTCAGAACATCATGAACAACAAAGGACGACTTAAAGAAAGAGACGGCTTAGCCAGTGCACACAACGATGTGCTGTTTTCCTGATCCCCTAACAACCTGGATCCCAAGCGGTGGTAGAGAAATAACGAGGCCTGGTCCTAGAAGACACAACCACCGCAATTCCGGACTGGGCGGGGGAAGCACACAGCAGGCCGCGGCACCGCACCTACTGTGTGTCAAATTTGCCGGGAGCTTTATAAGCGTTGGTCACTTAAGCTCCACTACAGCCCTACAATCCTTGTTTCGACCACAGAGGACACCGCAGGCTCAGGGAGCTGGAATAACTTATAAGGCACCAGGAGGTGCCACTTTTAGTTTCAGGACACAAACACAGATAAAGGGAAATCTTTGCTTTTGTTACATGGATGGCTACCACAACTAATGTTGAGCTCCCATACAATACACTCAGAGAACTGGAATTTTCAGAGATGACAAGGCTGAGGTTTTCACAGGCCTGTCTTGATGTTATCCATCGTCACACTCCACCGTAAGAGCACTTACAGCAGGAACTAGAGGCGATGGGATCGGGATGAGGTGGGAGGGAGGTATGCAAAAATTGGAAAAATCAATCTCCAGACCCCATGACAAACAGGTCAATAAGAGCCAGAGGCTCTTCAATTCACATCACAGTGTGGTCACCATGTGAGCTCCAAACCACTTTCTGTGACCTGAGGTAGTGCACGTAACTAGAGGACACCAGTAACCAGGAGATCTCTGCTCTGACCCATCCTGCTCTCTTGCTAACTAGTTACTCTGACCAAGGACTTACTCTGCTTCCAAGCTTCCCCTTCCGCTCAAACAGCTAATCCTATTTCCCCTGACTCACAGAAGAGTAAGCGAATGGCTTGTGGAAAAGCCCAAGGCTCCAAAGAAGTCAGAAGCACAGATTTCCATCAGGACAGGGACAGAGTCAGCCTGGCACCCTCTGTTACACTTTTGTGTAGTGAATGAATAGAAGACTGTGAATGAATAAAAGACGAGTAAACACTGGAGTACTTATTTCTAAAAAGTAGAAAAGATAACTACTTGCCTACCCCTACTGGGCTCCTTTGACATTCAAATGTGATGATGAATGAAACAAGTGATACTGATGGGTATCGTCACTATTTCACAACAAAAGTATGACTGCCAAAGAGGACATTATAAGGAATCTCACACCAGCAAAGTTAAGTGAGTAAGGTAGGTTAACAACTTCACACAGCTAAGTGATTTCTTATCAATGTGGCTTTTGGCCCACAGACAACCCTGATAAATTCAATTCCCCTTGTGAGTGACTCTAGGCAAATCATTTCATCATCTGTTCCAAGCCTGTTTCCTTAATGCTAAGACGAAAATGTTCTCGATTTGTTTGCCTTTCCAATTTCTTTTTCAAAGATTTATTTTTGCAAGAGAGAGAGTACACGTGTGCAGGGAGGAGGGTCAGAGGGAGAAGCAGGCTCCCTGCTGAGCAGGGAGCCCAATGCAGGACTTGACCCCATAACCCTGGGATCATGACCTGAGCCAAAGATAGACGGTTTACCAGCTGAGCCACCTAGGTGCCCTGCCCTCCTAATTCTACTTCCCCCTCTCATCTCTGTCCTGTGCCCTCCTGTGTGGACCACATCCAGGGAGTCTCTGGCTCTCTCGCTTCCAGCAGGGTTTGCCCAGCAGAAGGCACCAGCAAATGTTTGGAGAGAGAGAGGTCAGGGTATTCCTTCCCTCACCCCAATCCCTGATGGGAAGCTGGGACTATACCCCTGCCTAAAGGTCTCCCCTGCTCTCAGGTGCCCTCTCAACACAGCTATTTAGAAAACTGGTCTGTCTTCTCTCTCCCCTCACCTCTTCAGGCCTAGAAGCAGACACAAGGTCCCACAGTCACTAGCCCTGAGGTACTGCACATCCACTCCTGATCTCTCTGACCACACTTTAATAAACACAGCAGTCCCTTTATCAACCTTCTCTCAAATTATCCTAATCCGAGCAGACCACCTTTCTCCTGCTGAGATCCTGGATTACACAGGAGTTACAAACTATAGATCATGGTACCATTAGGTGCCAGGCACTGGGCTATTAGTTACTGTTACAACTACATGATGCAGAACTTTTTGCTCCCAATTTACAGGTGAGAAAGCGGAGGCTCAGAGAAGTTAAGAAATGTGCCTAAGCTCACACAAACATGGACTAGCTCCAACTGGGGCCTCAGCCTCCAGACGCTGAGATTTCTACCATCCCATTTCTATCATCACAGTCACGGTCATTGCTTTGTCTATCATACCGTAGTTCACCATTGTGGGCACTGCTACTTAAAAGGAAAAAAAAATATCTCTTTTAAGTACAATTTCATTGCGATTGCTGACCACAATTTAACGGTGTGGTTAAAAGCGGGAGCTCTGTGGTCGTTCCAAAGTTCGAGACCTGGCTCGCCACTTGCAGAAGTGTTAATCTTCAGCAAGAGAATTCCCTCCACGAGAAGCCTCAATCTCCTCCCCTAAAAAAGGGGAATACACTACTTCCTTCCTCGGGTCGCTGTTAGCGTTTAATGGGATATCGCATGCAAAAAACCCGGCAAGCAATAAACGCTCAACTGACGGGACCTGTGATGATTAATAGCGGTTTTGCGGCCTTGGCGGCTTTACTACCGCCGGAGACCTGGGAGAAGAGCCGCGACCCGGGAACCTGAGGGAAGGAGCCCGCCGCCCAGCCCCGGACCGACCTGCTCCTCCAGCCGCTCGATTTCCAGCTGGTTCTTCTCCTCCTCTTCGTCATACTCCCATTCGTACTCCCCAGGGGAGCTCTCGGCGGAGGAAGCCATGGCGTACTCCTCGTCCCCATCGCTCTCACTCACGCCTTCCTCCGGCTGGTCCCACCCCGGCCCCACGGCCTTGTACGTCGCAGTGGCCACGGCCCGCGACAACACCTTCCTCCTCGTCCTAGCCGTCTTAACGTCATCCTCCTCGCCCTCCGCTGTGGGCCCGGCCTTGGGCTCAGCCTCCGCTTCTGAAGCCGATGTTGCGGCCGCTGTCGCCATCTTGCGCATCTAGTGACTCCCGGGTCTTCTCGCGGCCGCCGAAGACCCGCTGAAGGAAGAGCTGCCCGCGGCGTGCGCCTGACCTAAACCCCGCTCTCCTTGCGACGGAAAGGGAAACTGTGAGCCTCGAACGACGGGAAAATCTCGGAACCCGTGAAATTTCGTATTGCTTTTACATAGGTATAGAAGTTCTTTCAGAATAAGAACTCCCCAACACGGCATGTGTTCCGTCGCAACTTCGGACAGAGGTTGGGTCTTTGAACAGGAAGTGTAGGCCGTAGAGGAAGTCATGGAGTGATGACTGAAGGGAAGGGTTTGGCGCCATCTTGAGAAGGTCGAAGGAATCTAGGAATGAAAGCCTTCCTTACAGCCTAGTCCGATCAGGCGCGTGGTTCAGTCTCCCCAGCAACTGAACCGAAAACGCAGGGAAAACTCCAAGTACCCGGGGAAGGATCGACTGCACCGTTCACGAGAAAAACGTATTTCACAGAGCTTCCTCCTTTTTATGTAATACCTGGTGCCTAAGCGTTAAATACACATATGGGTTTTCTTGTATGAAATCATGTTCTGCAAGCCAGTATTAATAAATTTCATTACTAAGCGTTCATTAGAAACTCTTCATTTCCAGGCATTGGTCATATAAATATGTCAGCATGCTGATGAAGAGAAATAGATGTAGACATACACATACATACTTTAAAAATAATCAGGGTATGGCGTGTTCGTTTTCCGCAATTAAGCTCCCATTTTTGAGGTAGGAAAATATTGTTTATTTGCTGCCTTTCTCCCTCATTAGCAAGGCTAATTGTGTAAGGAATTAATGTGTTTTTCTTTGTTGGATCCCCAAAGCCTAGGATAACTCCTTGAATTGCTCTTGAATTAGTATAAAAGCGAGGATCAAGGCTTAAAGAGATTATGTCATTCGCCTAGGGCCACACAGCCGGGAAGGAGCAGACTCCGGATTCTAACCCAGAATTGTCCTTGCTTGCATCTCAAATAAGGCTGGGCAATCTTGGAGAAGTTACTAAACCTCTCTGACCCTCAACTTCATAAGCTGCAAAATCGAGCCGTGAACAGTAGTGGTTGATCCACTGAGCCGCATTCCGGCGATGGGTAGGCTTGGTGAACGCAAACTTGGGCTCCCACTCCTGCCTGAGACCCCTCCGATTCAAAACCCCGCGCTCGGAACGAACCCTCCAACTTCAGTCTTTGAGTTCGGCTTCCCGCCCACCCCAGAGGGGCGTGGTCAAGACGGGACCAAAGGCAGACACGCGCATGGAGGGGGAGGGCGCAGGCGCGAAGTCGCGGTGACGTAAAAGGGTGCGCGCTCCAAGCCGGGAACCGACGCGTGGGCGCGTCCCTCCCCTCCGTCTCGCGCTCGGCCTAAGCTGGCGCAAGCCGGGAAGATGGCGGCGGCTGGAGCGGGCCGTCTGAGACGGGCGGCGTCTGCCCTGCTGCTGCGGAGTCCGCGCCTGCCTGCCCGGGAACTGTCTGCTCCGGCCCGGCTCTATCACAAGAAGGTAGGGGCAGATGAGGGGATGCGCGGGACCCGCACTGGTAAGGCGGCGGGATGGCGAGGACCCGCGAGAGTACCCAGGTATGCCGGCGCTCGACGGAGGCCGGACCTGGGGAGGAGTGGCTGCGGGGTTGTGCGCGGCCTTGGGAGCCCCCACTGCGGCGGGGATAGGGGCCACCCCCTCGCGCGACTCTGACTGGACTGCGTTTCCTTTGCTGCACGGATAAAACTAACCGCTGCCCGTGGGCCCCGCCGCTGGCTGCGATTTCGTGCCTCAAAACCCAGCAGCCCAGGAAGGAGGGCCCGTTATGACCTGCCAGCCTCACTCCAGGGACAGACACACTGGCGCGGGCTCCGGCTTCAGGGAGGCCGTTGCCCTAGCCAGATGACCTTGGGCAAGTCCCTGCTCTGCGATGAACCTGTTTTCCCCATTTGTAAAGTGAGTTCTTAGCTTTCCCCTACACGAGATAGATAGTGCTTGTGCAGTCCTCGGCATGGTGCCCAGCACATGGAGATCATTTACGGTGCAGTTACTGTTGTAGGAATTCACAGTCTCCGAGTGGAGTCAGACACGTAATAAACAGTTGCAGTGTTTTAATTTTGTCCTGGTTTTTTGTTGTTGTTGTTGTTTTTTGGTGGGGAGTAGGGGGGACAGCGTCGGGGAATAGGAATAGGTGCATAGTTTGCAGCCCTTGCCTTCCGGGGGCGTAAAGTCCCCTAGACCAGAAACTTTCCCACTCTGGAAACGACTAAGAACGCGGTGAGTCAACATGGGGCAAAAAGTCCAGATGAGGTATTATCTTGTAGGTCCTTGGGCTTGGAATCAAAATCCGCGGTCGGGAAGAGACACTGGAAGAAGATGGGAGACTTAAGGCTAACTGGTAGACACGCCTCAAAGTTACATTAAAGTCTCCTGTGTGCCAGTTTGAATAGATACTGTTCTGTCCTGGCTTCAGCTCGTCTGCCAGGGACTTCGCTCCTCCCCTACCTAGGGGTGTGTTTTGTTGACAAAACACCCTCAACGAACGTGGGCTAGCAGCCTTTCAGCCACCAGGGTGCGCTGCTCCACCAGAGTGATTTCCGGGCTTGACATACAGTAATGGGACGGTTACTGTTTTATCATACACAAATGGATACATTCCATAGCATTGTTCCTCGTATAACATTCTCCTTGAGACTTCTGGGAAATCCTTCGATTGCTGGACCATACTTGTTTTTTGAAAAATTTTTAATAGTAATCATCCTTTGAAGATGGATTTATTTGGAAATAACCAGAAATGCTGTTTGAGCCCAAATCTGGTGACTTAGGTGGTAAAGATCAGCTAATTATTTGTGATTTAAAAACTCTATAGAGGGATGCCTGGGTGGCTCAGTCAGTTAAGCCTCTGCCTTCAGCTCAGGTCTTGAGCCCAGGGTCCTAGTATAGAGTCCCAGGTTGGGCTCTCAGCTCAGCGGGGAGTTTGCTTCTCCCTTTCTGTCCCTTCCCCCGTTTGTGCTTTGTCTCTTGCTCTCAAATAAAGTCTTCAAAAAAAAAAAAAAAAAAAAACCTATGGATTTAAGACATGATTTTGCTGATTTTTCTCCAGTAACTCAAATTTCTGAGGGTAGTTGGAAAAGAGGTCCAAACGGTTGGGTCATAAAGTCTCACTGACATAAGTGTAAGCCTTCCTCCCCAGGTGATGTCTGATGCTTAGCGACTGACTGCCTGCCAGGTTCAGCTTGCTGACTTCAAGAAACTTGAAGGAGCTTACCATCAAGTTGGGGAGACAAAAAAGAGTAATCATTGGATTTCTCTTAACCTTCTAATTTCAGGTTGTTGATCATTATGAAAATCCTAGAAACGTGGGGTCCCTTGACAAGACTTCAAAAAATGTCGGAACTGGATTGGTGGGGGCGCCAGCATGTGGTGATGTAATGAAACTGCAGGTACCTCTGGTTTTCTTTAATGGTAATGACAGTAATCCCTTTGCTCATACAGTGCTTCGTTGTTTACAAAGCATTTGCATGCACAGCTTTCCCCTTGGTCTCTACCTGGATTCCTGTGAGATGATGGGATGGTTCAAAGTTATCAATTATTAGGTAGGGACTGAATCTTAGTTGTCCCATACACTGCGCTGACCCTTTCTGGTGTCAGTTTTCTACTCAGTCTATCAGCTTAAATTCCAACTTCAGCCAAGTAGAAAGTTTTGTGAATTTTACTGAGCAAAAGAAAACCACAACCATTCGGTTAGCAATCCCCAGTGAGACAGGAAATGCCATATATCAAGCCTCCGCCTGATTGGAAACAACACAAAGGTAGTGACTGGCACTTTGAGTAATCTGTAGTTTTGTCCACATCTGCTTCATCGTGGTGAAGGGGCAGCTTGCCAGAGGTCTCCATGCCTACCTTGGAAAACAAACAAGGCAGGAGGAAACCACTAGATGTCATTTCATACCAAACTAAAAAGCCCTAACTAGGGACCTTATTACAGACTCTACCAGTGTTTAAAGATGCAGTTTGAGCAGCCAAGAGAACTTCGTAGCCAAAGAGCAGACTAGAGTCACAAAACCAAAAATTGGGGGTAGGGGGCATATTTTTCAGCTTATCTTTACCCGGTGTGCCTGTCTCGTTCTGATGATCATTCCTACATTTTACTCTTCATCACCGAGCCCTTTGGAACAAAGCAAATGCAGTAATTAATGTTAAAACTTAGGGTATGGAAAGCAAGACCAAAGCCCTTGGGGAGAGCCTCAGTGAACCCCCTATAAATGCAGGTTCTACGGGACGGCACCAGGAACCACTGCTTAACTCCTGTCTCTTTTCTAGATTCAAGTGGATGAAAAGGGGAAGATTGTGGACGCCAGGTTTAAAACATTTGGCTGTGGGTCTGCTATTGCCTCTAGCTCATTAGCCACTGAATGGGTAAAAGGGAAGACGGTAAGTTTGCTTGCAGATTGACAGAATTAAATCACATTTCTGACAAACCTGCCTCTGAGTTAAGGGAAGGGTCTAATTATTAGGGGGAAGGAAGGGAGGGCTGATTTTTTTCAAAATATTCTAAGAATTTCTTTAATTTCTCCTGCTCAGGTTTTGATTAAATTCTTCACATTGGGGATTATGGATAATTTTGTTAAGCTTTTTATTTTGGGTTTTTTTTTGTCGATCATTTTTATTTGTTTGGAGGTTTGGGTGGTGTTTTGTTTAGGGCTTTTTTGTTTTCTGTTTTGGGTGGCAGGGCAGAGGGAGAGAGTCATAAGTAGGCCCCATGCCCAGCACAGTGCCCAAGGCAGGACTCAATCTCATAACCAGGTCATGACTGAGCCAAAAATCAAGAATTGGACGCTTAACCAACAGAACTACCCAGGCACCCGTTCAGTTTTGTTTTTAATTAAATAGGAAAAATATCCTCACCTCCCCCACTAACAGAGAAGAACGGCAAAGAACTCTATGGCTTTCTGCAAGGCTGCTGATTAAAATTTCTTAGGAGTCTAAGGGTGGGAGAGGCTATATTGTGGTTTGTGTTCTTGTTTATTTCTTTCTATCATGTTTCAAAAAGGATTGCAGGTGGTTTATAAGGATTCATGAAATAACAAACTAGCCAGTGCGAAAAGGGATTAAAGGATCAGAAACACCAAAGATGGAGACAAAGGAAACAAATAGAACAATGATCCTGGTGGCTGGTCGGCAGGCCCTCTGAGGGTGGAAATGAGACAAGCTGGAACACCGTTTCTGTTCTTCTCTCTGCCAAAGCCTCTTTCCCAGAAGCTGCAGAGGTAGAAGGTCCCAAACCTGGTGAAGGACTGGAGTTTCTAAAATCCAGTCATAAAACCACTCAGAAAAGCCAAAATATAGGGCTGCTTATCTTTGTAGCCCCAAGGGACCAGGTTCAGGGGCTGAGTCACAGAGGAGTGTGCATGGGGAGCTGGGCAGCTCTACAGCAATGCTGGGAGCAGGGCCACGTGTCCCCGGCTTCCTGTGGCTCCAGGCCTTCTGGCTGGCGAGCTCCCTGGGCGAGCACAGACCTAACCTGATCTGGAGGAGATGCCTCTGAAGCAATTTGTTAAGACCTATGCTCCGGGAAAAGGGAAGCAAGACAAGGCACCTGTGCTCCCAGGATCTGGCCTTTGAGCTGTGATCAGAAAGAGGAGGAATAGGGCCTTCCTTTGACTTTGTGGTCCTCTCTGAGTTTCTAAGAACAGAACGTGAAGCATTATCCTTGAAGTCAGCAGAATTGGGAAATTGGGGGACAGAAGGGGAACTCTGGCTCTTCTTAAGGCAGCAGGGCTCCTTCCATGTGGGCCTCCTTCACGTGTCCTCGGACACTCGAGCAAACTCAGGGCATCCTTTCCAGTCTGTTTGGCCAAGATAGATTCTCTTCCGGCAGAGGATGATCCCAAGACCGGTCTGTGCCACTGCCAAATGCTAGAGTGCCACTGGCCTATTTGCCACCTCTCTGACCGCCCTGACACCATTCAGCACTTCTGGTTGAACGGATTTATTCTAAACATTTGGTATAAAGACATCACCGAAGCTGATCCTCACAAAACCAGAATAGGAGAAATCACTGCCTTTAAATAAATAAAAAAAAAAAAGCCAGATTCCTGTTGCTGGCCTGAAGCAGACCCCTAAGAGCGGTCTCACGGGCTGGCTTGTCGAAGTGTCTTTGCCGGCAGTGCTTACCCCAGCCACGCCACACGACGGAGTGTGTACTCCATCATATCGCAGAGCCCCAGCTACAGCCTTGACGCACAAGTGCGCGTCCTCAGGGGTTCTTAATGGCAGTCATCCCCACCACCCCATTCTGAGGGCCTCTTTGGCCTCCCTTTTTGATTGCCTGTTCCTCGAGTTAGAGCTTCACTGAGACTGTCCCGCTCTCCTCCATGCCTCTCAGGTGGAAGAAGCCTTGACAATTAAGAACACGGACATCGCCAAGGAGCTCTGTCTGCCCCCCGTGAAGCTGCACTGCTCCAGTGAGTTTCCCCTCTAATGCCCACAAGCTTGCATGGCTGGGAGCACTTCTGTAATGGCATCAACTGGCATTTGTGTGAAGTAATGGTGAGGCTGTTTTGGTTGTGGTGTCCGTAACCTTCAGATAGCAAAAGCCTCCAGGCCTCACTGCCCATCTCCAGGAGGGTCTTAATAGGAGGTGGGGTGTGCTGGGCGTCATGTGAGCACTTCGTGGCATCATTTCTAAGCCTCAGAAATGTCCTCTAGTCCACAGACAGCATCATTATCTCTCCCTCTTACCAGGAAAGCGGGGCTCAGCTTAAAGCACCCCAGTCACATGGCTTCTAAGTGGGAAAGCCAGGCCCTAAGCCCCAATCTTTGATTCTAGAATCTGTGCTGGTCCCACCCATTGGAGTCAAGTTTGGACCAGTAAAGGAGATAATTCTGCTTCTGCCATCATTCTTTTGCATGTTTCCACTTCCTTCCCAGGTGCTCTTACTGTGTATATAGTCTGAGTCCGTGTATACAGATTGACTAAGTCCAGTTGTGCAACAGTCCCCTGTACGCTGTCCTAGGAGAAAGCCCAGATGCCTTAAGACTTATACTTGGCTTTCTAGTTTGGCCTTTGTCTTAAATCTAAAGTGTTTTCCATCTTCTCTCAACCTTCTAGGGGAGGGAGGAATGAGAAACAGTAGCCTTAACTTACTGACCAAATTAGTTTAAAATCAGCAGAGAGCCAGGCCTCTTGCCAGAGTAAGACTCACAAGGAAAATCAGGGGCAGGGACATGCTAACAGTCGTCAGGAAGTCTTCTATGACCCGAGTTCTTTCCACCCGAGCTGGGATTCCCAGTATGCAGAAATAAAGGCCATAGCTTGTCGACATTTTCAGAAAACCCCCAGCCTCTTCATTTGGCCTTCTTGGGCACCGCCACCTTTAGCTGTTCCTCTCTGCCTGTTGCTTACTATTTCCCCCCATAGTCCTTATAATTCTGACTCCAAAGTAAAAGTTTTCAAAGTTGGGATCCCTCCAGAGGATGTGGCAGTTGCCACCTGTCAACCAGTGGCATGACCCACGTTACACCAGCTTGCTCAGCCAGCATCCGCTACATTTACTCCGGACTTCCCTGGAGGCAGATGAGAACTGACATCTCTTGTGGCCCTCTAACATGTCAGTTTATTAAGCCCTCACCCTATCCCATCAAAGGGAGAATGTCCCAGTTTTATAGAACAGAAAGGGGATTCCAGGAGGCTGAGGCTAGCCTAGAATCCCAGGTATTTAAACTCTAATCTGCCTCCGAAGCCACGGGCAGGTGTAATCAGGCTCAGGAAACGGCTGGCTGGCTTTCCAGGCTTGCTCCTCACTCCCCACTCCCCCAACCGGGGGGCTCTGATAAGCCCTTCCCCAGCACCGCTGCCCTCTAGCTCTTAAAGGTGTGATTCCCAAGACCCTCTCTGTACAGTCTACAGACTGAGGCTCTTTCCTTGTGCTCCTTCCAGTGCTGGCCGAAGACGCAATCAAGGCTGCCCTAGCAGATTACAAACTGAAACAAGAATCCACAAAGGGAGAGGCAGAGAAGAAGGAGAAGAAATGAGCCCGCGGCGAAGCATCTAGCGGTCAGACCTGCTGTGTGTCCACCCACCGCACCGTCGCTACAGATGTTCAGAACCCCCACCCCCACTACAGTAAAAGAGCTCGGAGTCACGCGCAGCGCTTGCTGGTCACGTGGTGGCTCCCATGCCAGCAAAATACACCGTTTACTTGTAAGTCCTGTGCTTTCTTTCGGCTCACTCTTAGCGCCTTAACCCCGTTTGTATATATTTTGAATTGTGCGCATGGCCTCTAACTGAAATCAGTCACAAATTCTCAAGTGTGGTAGTCAAAGTGTGCAAATACCTAATTTCACCTGAAACTGTCTTGGGGAAGATTACCAATAGAAGGCCATGATATGATTATTTGATAGAACCAATTATTGTACATAAAACAGATGTGCATATATATATATATATATATATATATATATATACAAAATAAAGGATATAAGACCATGTTTTTCTCTGAAAAGCCTTGTCTCTTGGATCCCTCACTCACTCCAGGGTCCTGCCCGGAGCCCCCTTGGGGCTGCCAGATGCTGGGCTGTGATGACACGCGTACCTTTCTGAGCAAACCGGACAATAAGGCCCATGGGCAGAGCCGGCCAGACGTGGGTCACGTTTTACAGAATGGGGGCGAAGGTGAAAGGAGAGTGCCATCTCTTTTTGTTGTTCTTTGCAAAGTAGTAGATTGACAAATCAACATGAGTCCAGAATACTCTATAATTTCACTGGTTTGTGAAACACTAAAACCTGAGAAACCCTGGCCCTGACAATCGCGGAAAGTCACGGAGCAGCTGGGGGGAGGGGGTGGAGCCTGTGTCGGGGGCACCCACCTGCCTGCTGCTGGTGGCCTTGTCACCTTCTGGTAGAAGTGTGGAGTTGGTGGCCGCCAGGCTGGGATGAACTGCGCACTCAGTGGAAGCAGTGATGCAAACCAAGCCACGGCCGGTGCCACGGTGGCAGCCAGACCGCCCTCTGGCGCTGTGGAATTGGCAGGCCCTTAGGTCTTGCAGGCCACGAAGCACATGGAGCCTCGGGCAAAACAAGCTGTTCAAAGTCTACCAAAATCTGCTTTCAGAGTACCACCACCGAGGGGGGGTTGACCCCAGATGACAAAACAGGAAGCAGCGCGAATGCAGGCATAAGGCCTACTGCCACTGAAGGACAAAGGAGCTGCTCACCTACAAATGACGCTTTTAAAATCACCCCAACAGGAGGACCTCCGCACACAGCAGCCAGAAGGGACAGAGCTAACGATATTCTAGAAGGCAAAGCTAAAAACACAAACAGATGATGAATTTAAAATTTTTACTAGTTTATGTATAGAGGTACCAGCTCTTACACTAAAATGCCTCAGCTACAAATGTTAAAAATGATGTAGCACCGGCTGCATCAAAAGCCTCGGTGTCCCTCTCTTTGTATGTGAGGATCTTCAATCAGATTATAGAATATTTGGAGATTCATAATAATTGTGGGTAAATGTATGCAATTTGAGTAGAAACATGGATATTACTTATGTAGCAAGTAATTTGGTACCTACTTCACAGCAAAGTGAATGTGCCCATCTGCCCTCAAGGGGCCCCCAATCTAGTGCGAGAGTGATAAGCTGGTGATTAAAATCCAGTGTGATTAATACTGTGATGGAATTAGCACAGGCCGTTGCTCCTCTCATTGGGAGGAAAGGCTGCTGAGCTTTCAGAGAACTGGCCCAGCCACTTGAAACCTTGAAATAAAGAATGAATTTAGCCACAACTTTGACCCCAGAAGTTGATCTAGGTATATATACATCCCTGATGGAATTCAGATTTCGTACATTAAAGGCTGTAACAGTAGGAGTCCTAAAAACAACAACAACAACAACAACAACAAAAAACTCCACCTGGGGGTCAGTTGAAAATGGAGATTTCTAGGCCCAGCATTTGGCTTTAGGCCTGTGCAGGTGATTCTAATGCCTGTGACTTCAGGTGGCCGCCGGCAGTTCTGGGGGGCAGGGGAGCCAAGCCACAGGGGAGCAGTTGGCTTTGTCCAGGCTCCGTCCTGCCCCGCACAGGTGTGCTGTTTGAGTAGTTCATTCCGAATGGTCTGACCGTTTACGGTGACCTGAGTTTTAAAGAACAGCCATCCCTGGCCCAGCATGCCTAACATTCTACCCACTGTCCCTCCCGAACCCTGTCTGCGCCCCAGGGTTGTAGATATCACTCCAAGGCACCCACAGTCCTGCATCAGCCAAAATCCCACTAAAGGAGGCCCTGGGATCTAAAGTACCAGCTAACCATTTGAGATCTCCTTAAACTCTTCAAAAATGAGATGTGCTTTTTTCTGATGGTGGGTTTTTTTTTGTCCAGGCATGGGCTGGCTGTCTCTTCTCTTAAATATACCTCCTTTGTTAAAAAAAGAAAAAGAAAAGAAAGAAAGAAAAGGAAAAAAAAAAAAGAAAACAAAACAAAACGTCCTCTGAGTCCTGGAGAAGTGCACAGAACTTCAAAGGCCATTCCCTCCATGGCCCGTGGAGAGGGCCAGGGCCTTCCTAAGACTTTCCGGTTAGGGCTGCCAGGTGGGGACATGTCAAGAGACATGTCAGATTGGTCTGCGTGGCACATGCTGCCATTTCAGCCCCTCCAAGCTAAGCTGGTCTCCTTCCCTGCTTCATCATATGTGGCAACACTGCAATTCTCCCACCGCTTCTCTTTGTAATTTAAAAAAACGAGATCTCTCTGCCAGGGTGAGTATCCTCTGAGAGTTGAACCAGAATTCTGCACGTCACAGGCCGCTCCCAAACAGCTCGGGCAGTATTGCCAGAACAGCCCAAACCTCAAAATACACGGTTGTGCAGCTAAAAGAATTTCTGTGACTTACATTCCAGACTACCACCCCCCCCACACACACCCCTGACCCCGCTTTGCCCAAACAAATCTAGTTTCAACCACAGGAGGGCATCGCATGCCCTTGAATGAGCTTAAAGCTAGATCTGAGTGTGTCAGAGTCAAACTTCCTCAGGGAGATGTGTGTATCCCGCACACACGCCCTGGGCCAGGCCCTCACACTGGTATTGTGTTCCCTCTCGTGACAACCCTCCGAGGTGGACGTTATTTAAACCAACTCAAGCCAAAGCCCAGGCTTCACCTTCCTGGTTTCCTTCTGGCAGAAACACCAAAGATTCCAACCGACCGTACATCAGACGCTCGCCTGGGCCTTGAGCCTTCACAGGAAGAAGATGCACCAACACAGGACAAGCCCCAGTCCATTCACTCAGCCATCTCGGCCCCAAGCACCAGGGCCCTTACCTGGCTATGCATCAGAACTGCCAGGGAGCCCAGTTTAACCCCGACACCCTGTTAAATCTCATGGCCTGGCGGTGGGGTCTGGGCGCTGGTGTTTCTGCCCATCTCCAAAAAAGCTCCTGAGTCCCTTCCTCTCTCGACCCTACACCCCCACCCCCCTAGCATCTGCCTCAGTCTAGACCTTCCTGCTCTCTCCTGGCCTCCCCACTGGTCTCCCTGCCTCCAGCCTCACTGCTGGGATCCACGTTGCACATGACTATGGCAGGGGTCTTCCTAAACAAAAGTGACCCTGTCCCTGGCTCCGCAATTGTTCATACTTTTCCTACCACATCGATGGATTTGCTCCAGGATGCTGAACCTTCCCCTTAGGACTTCCCCTTGTTATTCCTTCCGCCAGGAATGCCCTCACCAGGGGTCTTCCCTTAACCTCCGCTCAGGCTGGGAGCCTCATCTCAGGCATCACCTCCTCTGGGAAGCCTCCTAGATTGTCCCAGGCTGAGCTAGGTGTCACTCTCTGCTCCCACAGTCCCCTATACTTCTTAATCACATATGTGTCATAGACAACATCATAATTTGCTGTTCTCTTGTCTTTCCATAGCATTATGCAGACACTGAGTCTGTCTTTTTTTTTTTTTTAAATAGGTAACATGCTCCAGGAAAAAAAAATCCAAACAACACGAAATGGAAGAGAGCTAATGTCCTTGCCATCATCCCTAATCCCCTGCCTCCTTCCCCAGAGGCAGTCTCTGATTCTCGTTTCTCAGGCGTCCTTCCAGAAATTCTCTGGGCAAATCCAAATACACGTGTGTTCAAATAGACCATTTTCTTCTTTTTTACACATGTGGTGACATACCATATATTTCTGCCATGTTTATTTTCCTCTTGACTGTACTTCTGAAGGCCATTCCCTATCCATTCTTATAGACCTGCCAGATTCTTAACGGCTGCACAGCATTATGAAGGTCCATAATTTAGTTTTCTGTTGATGTTTGTGTAGATTACCCTCATAGCAATGTCTTAATTAGGGGACCCAGCATCTGGTATAGTTCTTAACTCACTGGGGAGCTCCCTAAATGCCTACTGAGTGGATGGATGGGTGGTTCATGGGTAAGTGGATAGATGGGTGGACGGGTGGGTCAGTGGCTGGGTGGATGGATGGAGACTGTGGGAGTGAGTGGGTGGGTAGATGGATGGATGGATGGGTGGGTTAGTGGGTGGATATGTGGTGGATGGGTGGGTTAGTGGGTGAAGGACACATAGATGGATGGTGGGTGGGTAGGTGTGTGGGAGGAGAAACAGGCTTAGAATGAAATGACTTGCCCCAGATGACACAGCTTGGAAGCAGTAGGTTAGCTGAGGTCCTCTGCTGAGGTCCTCTAACCCCCTCCCACCCCTTTCAAAGGACCACACCACAACTATGACCATGTCTCTAATTTAACCTCTCCTAGATGTTATTCCTGGATTTTGGCCACTTAGGACCACATCAGAATGTACAGTTTTAGAACCTCACATTAAGCATGTCCTGTTAAAACTAGCTGTCCCTATCCTGAAATCTTCTTTAAAAGCCAAACAAATGAGGGATGCCTGGGTGGCTCAGTCGGTTAAGCGTCTGCCTTTGGCTCAGGTCATGATCTTAGGGTCCTGGAATCGAGCCCCGCATCGGGCTCCCTGCTCACTGGGGAATCTGCTTCCTCTTCTCCTCCCCCTTGCTTGGTGCTCGCTCTCTCTCTCTCTCGCTCTCTCTCATGAATGAATGCCAAACAAATGAGAGGAAACTGCCATGAACTTGAGGCAGGAGTGCAGGCTCTGCGTCCATCATCACAGGTAGGACAGAATACTTTTAGACCCACTGAGTCTTGGCAGAGTGACGGGGTCCCTGCAGACAAGCTCCAGCCCCAACCAGAAGATGGACTGGAGTAGATTCTTTATCAATGGCTCTTTCTGGCCTATCTGCTGGCTTTCTCCCCCCATCCAAGGTGACATCAGCCAACCCTCAAAAAGCCACCCCCACCCCCAAGAAGGCCGTCGCCACACAGGGAGACACCAGCAGAGCAAAGCAGATTGAGCTGGGAGCACTGAAGTCCAACAAGAGTGGGTTCAAATGCCGGCTGCCCCTGTGTAACCCTGAATAAGAGACTTAGAGC